AGGTGGACGGCCATGTCTTGGTAGGTTTGCGGCTGTGCCATACTCTTTCCATTTTCGGATGATGGATTGAACAGTGCTCCATGAGATGTTCAAAGCTTTGGATAGTATTTTATAACCTAACCCTGCTTTAAAGGTTAAATTCACCTTTGGGAACATGTCACATGTTCCACCCATTTTTATGGTGGAACATGTAACATGTTGCCACAGCCTCTCCTTCTTCTGACAGTACATGGAGACTTCTCCCATGTCAATATTGAAAAACTGGTCGTGTGGGGTTCTGCCCACACAGCTGTATCACTCCTTCAGACTTCATTGAAAACTGCAAGCAGACAGCCGCTGGGGCTGTTGGTACCTGTAGCTCATTCATTCACGGAACTACCACAGCGTTTCCTGTCAGAATATCTGCTTGACTGTACATCCCTTACGGCAAGCAGATATTCTAACAGGGCTGCAGGTGACCTGCATGGCATCAGCAATCTTTTGATTGCTGGCGCAATGCTTTCCAGGTTCCTGTAGACAAAAATAAATGCACATTTACCAGGAAAAAAATATGCATTTGTTGTCTAAAAGGTGAACTTATCTTTTACACTTCTCCAACTTTATCCCTGGCCTGTCTGCTGTTTTGACTTCATGATGCTGTTTGTTCACTAATACCCTCTAACAAACCTCTGAAGGCTTTGCAGAACAGCTGTATTTACACTGAGATTAAATTACACACAGGTGGACTCTGTTTACTAATTAGGTGATTTATGAAGGCAATTGGTTCCACTAGATTTTAGTTAGCGGTATCAGAGTAAAGGGGGGCTGAATACAAATGCACGCCAACTTTACAGATATTTATTTGTAAATGTCGAAAGCCATTTATAATTTTCCTTCCACTTCACAATTCTGTGCCACTTTGTGTTGGTTTATCATGCAAAATCCCAATAAAATACATTTACGTTTTTGGTTGTAACATGACAAAATGTGGAAAATTTCAAAGGGTATGAATACTTTTCCAAGGCATTATACATGTAACCATTGTGCAACAGTTGTCCATCACTGGTCAAAGCCAAAGTCGCATCCAAGTCTTACCCATCCAAAGTTGCACTTGAAATCGTGATACTATTGAGTTGCACTGCTGTGAATGGAGCCTTAGGGCTATTGCAACTTCACTTCAGAAAAAACTCTAGTGACTAGCAGAATATATTACCCTGTCTTTAGCAATTGCATTGCATTTCTTCCCAGTGACTACAAAAAAAAGTACATTTATTAAAAAGATGGGGGAAAAAAAGTGGCTTTTGGTGTATTAAGCAGTTGTGGACACTGGGCATAGTACACCCACCCTGGAGATGTGTGGTGGTGGGAGGGTTCATTTTTGGGGTGGGGTCAATACAGGATTTAACTTTTTTTTTTGTTTTAACCTGGCTTCATATATATATATTTGCTATGGAGGTTGTGGTTTTTTTTTTTTGTGTTTTGTATTTTTTTAACTTTAGCTCCCACTTTCCACTTGTGGGTAGGCTTATTTTTTTAGCTATGGGCTATAGAACTCAGAATGAGAACCTGAAACTATTGTGGGATCTGTTCATTGTAGTGATATACAGTACTTTAAAATCTGGCAGAATACAAGTAAATAAAATATTTTCAGAGAAAATCCATCAAACCTCATTGAGCTGGAATGGCTCTGTCTTTTTTTTTTTTTTTTTTTTTTTTTGAGCAATATTCCAATAGAGATGACTTCCAGTTGATGCACAGCTACCACCTTGGTGTATACAGCCCATGTTAAATATGTTAAATGAGGCTGACATGTATGAGCTGGAGCAAGAGTTTAGTCTGCATCCATAGCAGCCAGGCAGAGTTGATGGTTGATATTGGGTACAGCTGGTGTGTGTGTTTTTTTTAATAGTCTCAAAAATGGCCTTGAACATTGGGGGGGGAAAAAAGCAACTAGAGTAGATTTTTCTTTTTTTTTTTTTTTTTTTCAGCCCCCCCCCCCCCCCCCCCCCCCCCCCATCAGCAATATTCACACACGTGCGGTATATTGCATGTGATTCGCACAGGAAACGCACGCCATTCTTGTACAAATCACATGTGATTTGTGTGCAGTGTGATTGGAGCCATACATTTTTGTATGGCTGAAATCGCACCGCACCAAAAAAGTGCAGGATTTTTTTTTTTTTTTTTTGGGGGTCTGCACTAGAATCTGATCGCATGGGTATTCACACCTATGCGTTCCGGTTCTGCACATCGCACTGCATTTTGTGGATCGATTTTGGGGTGTTAATTTACACGCCCGCAGCGGTTCGCATGAATGTGGTGTGGAATTCCGTACCACATCAGTGTGAACCCTGCCAGAAGGCAAAAAAATCCTATTACCTGTGTTTAAAGTGATTCTAAAGGTTTATTTTTTAAAGAAAAAACAAGCATGTTAATACTTACTGTGGTTTTGCACAGAGCAGCCTAGATCTTCCTCTCCTGAGGTCACCCTAAAGGCTTTCCTGGCCCCTCCTTCCTGTTGGTTGCCCCCACAGCAAGCAGCTTGCTATGGTGGCACCTGCTGTTCCGTGTGTCACATGGAGCTGTGGCTCAGCCCAGTCCCCTCAACTCATTGGCTCACTGGCTGTGATTGACAATGGCTCCAGCTTTTGTCACAGCCAATGAGAAGAGGGAGTCCTAGGATAGCCGAGACTCCTGTGAACATCACTGGATCGAGGAAGATTAGGGGAGGCTGGTGGCATACTGACACAGAAGGTTTTTTGCCTTCATGCTTAGAATGCATGAAGGTTAAAAAAAAAAAAAAAAAAAAAACCTTGAGCCTTTAGAACCACTTTTAAAGGATTTCAGATTCTCCCACAAATACAATCTATGGTTGTATAACTGTAAACTCATCTCTTTCTAAAGGAGAGGAGAGCTGCTCTGTGTATAAAAACTCCAATCTGATCCTATGAGGAAGTCTGATTTGAGTGAAAAGCGTTAGTATTGTGTTTAACCTGGAGGGGGCTGTCTGTTCTTTGGTGACTTTCAACAAATTGTACTCAAGGTTTTATACAGCTACCCTCTTGTGAAAGTTGCAGTTTGGAGTTCTGATGGCGGCTTGCAACCACCGGGAGCCTGCTCCTGGAATGTAGGTTTGTTAGAGAGCGACGCTTGCAGCAGAATGTTACATTTCTATTGTCACTAATTGTATAACTGATGTGAATAATAATTCTGGGTAATATTGGCTAATTCTGCATAGCCATCCTTCCACTGAAATACATTTATTATGACCTGATACTGAGTCACTTGTTTCCATTCAACTCTGGCTTTTTACATTCAGTTCCTGGCGATATATTCAGATTTCTCAGCCAAAACACACACCCCCAATAATGCTGACCTATAGTGTAAAATCGTGACTTTTATGTTAAGGTAGGCCATAGACAAGTTGAAATCTGAACGCTTGGAGCAAAAAACTAAAATAGTTCATACAATTGTGCCATCAATGGTTTCATTTTTCTAATCAAAATCCCATGTTGCAGCTGGCACACCAATGTGGAAAAACAAGTGTTACCCTTGTCCTGTAATAATGCTCTTCTGCATCTGCCCAGTGTCTGGGGAAGGGGGATGGTTTCGATGCAGAGGATTTTGGGGCAGTAAAATTGGAAGCTTTTTAGGGCAAAGTTGCTGATTGGTGGCCTTGCATGAAGGACAGCCCTCCAAGGTCATCTGGTGGAGACTGAGGCTGTTCCTTGTCGGGGTGTGGAAATTAAAAAAAAACAAAATACTTTTCCATGGACTAAATTGGGGTCCCGCTCTACTTGTCCCCTTATGGCGCTCTACTTGTCCCCTTATGGCGCTCTACTTGTCCCCTTATGGCGCTCTACTTGTCCCCTTATGGCGCTCTACTTGTCCCCTTATGGCGCTCTACTTGTCCCCTTATGGCGCTCTACTTGTCCCCTTATGGCGCTCTACTTGTCCCCTTATGGCGCTCTACTTGTCCCCTTATGGCGCTCTACTTGTCCCCTTATGGCGCTCTACTTGTCCCCTTATGGCGCTCTACTTGTCCCCTTATGGCGCTCTACTTGTCCCCTTATGGCGCTCTACTTGTCCCCTTATGGCGCTCTGTCTTGATAATAAAAAATAATTTTAATTGAAACACACAGGGACTTGCAGGGTGAGAGGAGACCTTGCAGTGTGGCGAGTACTGATTGGTTGCTCACCAGGAAAGTGGTGTATCAGGCTCTCAACGCTCTTGCTCCGCATGCCCATCCTCTGGCTCAGTGTTCCCATCTTCCATGGGGTGGACACCAGGAGCACAGGGTGGGTAGGTTGTGCAGCCATCTTGCCTGTAGTGTGAGGTGGAACAATGAGGGCAGGCCTGGTTCAGGAAGGATTGCGGTGGTGCTCCCAGGGTCTGGAGGACAGGCAGAAATTAGTAGACCCCTCCAGGCAGTCTGGATAAGTATTACTCTGCACCAGTCTCTATAATGGACAGAAGGGAGGGCAGTGTACCACCTGTGATCCGGCCAGCTTGATCGATGACCCCCCTGCGCTGAGGGAAGTGTAGTTGTCTGTGGCCTGAAGATGGCAACTGTAGATGAACTGATGAACCTACACTTCCCGAGAGGCTGTGGACAGCTGCCGCCTGTCATAGCAAACATGCCGCTTGTCAAATGGTAAAGTTAGTAACAGACAGGACCTGGCGGCCAATAGGTGGCAGGGATGTGGGCGGCTGGCAGGCGATTATCCATCAGAGGGCTCTATGGGAAAAGCAGTGCTGAGGTAAGGAGGCTGTGCCTGTAGGTATCTGGAGGGGGGAGGCGAAAGGAAGCACGGGGGGCAAAAAGTCAACCTAAAGTAATCCTGTAGCAGGGCTTTAGGCATCGGGCAATATGAATTGCACATCCTGCTTGTACATCTGTTTGTGATGCATGGGGGGTTTTATTACCGATATCAAACCTTTCTTCAGTGTAGTCGTACTTGTGAATGTTGGATTAGATCTTGTGTATGCACTGTTCTTTCCTTAACCTCCTGATATTCAGAGTGTCCCTCAACTAGTGGAAAACCCAACCACGCTGACATTCTCCTGCTTAACCTGCAATATGTATCAGATGTAGAAGTGCTGAATGATCGCACGCAGACTCCTCCTCCTCTAGCGTCTCTCAACATCGGCAAGGTAGGTGGATGTTCATGTTGTATGATCTAGACTGTTGTCCTTCACACCTTCTCTAACATGAGGTGGGTCACTGCTTATTTTGTGTGCAGTGGTTAACCCTTTGAGGACCGTAAGATTTTGGAATGCCAAAAGAATCAATTTTTTTGTTTTTAAAGTTCGTACACTTCAGTTGCTGTAACTAAGCCATTTCATGAAATAATTGGCAAAACGCTAGATCCATTTGTTTGATAAGAACTAATATTTTGACTCAAACCAAAAAAAGTTTTTAAGTCCTTAATGAGATGATACACGCAATTAAACCATGGGGACAAATACGTCCCTTGGTACTCAAAGGGTTAAAAGCAAAAACTAAAGGTGCACCCTAGTCGATATCTTAAAAAAAAAAAAAAAAAAAGCATACAGGGACAATCCTATATGCTCCGTTCCCCTTACTATGCAGGAGAGGTATCTGAACACACCTTTTGTAGTCTTCTTACATCCAATTGAACTTTTTAGTTTTAAGTTGACTAAATACTTTCCAGGGCCATCAAAGCAAAAGGTGTTTGAAAGCTTACAGTTTTAGAAACCATCACAGCCCAAGTAGAAAAGCATCTCCTGTTGGCATGCTGCATAGAAGGACCCTTTTCTCTGAGTGCAAACCATGGCCTCTCTGCAGAGGTCTGCCACCCTTTGCTGAACCAGATCCACAGCTCTCCAAACATTAAAGCTCAGAACGCATTGCTAATTGGAGAAACCTAGCCTCAACAGGGGTCATGGTGGGCTTCTACAGAGAGATGACTGCTTCTATACAGAGTGGGCAAAGGTCCTTCTCTGTGGCAGGGGCGGACTGACAACTCGTGGGGCCCCTGGGTAAAAGGGGATCATGGGGCCCCTGTGTCCTTGCCCACACTCAAAGCACACCCAAAAATGCCTATAAAAGATACCAGGGGCATTTCATGGGGCCCCCTACTGACCCCGGGCAGTTTGTGCTCGAATGGTCAGTCCGCCCCTGCTCTGTAGTCTTCTGGCATCTGACAGGCTTCCTCAACAAAATGGACGGTTCGACTTGAACACCTACTGTGTTTTATGTGCCTAGAATTGTATTTAGCAGAGATCTGGCACAGTGTTCAGGAGTGCACACCCAGTGATGTGCTTTTTAATCTGTTTCGTTATCCCTTAAATAAGAATCCAAAGTAATTGAGCTGAAACTTTGGTTTAAAGTAACCCTGTTGCTGTTCAGGTGGTAGGCAGGCCATAGATGTGATAGTTTCTTGCAACTACGTGTTAATGGGGGAATCCCTCCCAAGGAGCTATTGTGTTCTCGTGGGGATGGGGGTCATGGGGAAGCTGTCCCTGCCAGAAGAACACAGACTATAGCTGCTGGCAATAATCGCATCCTAAAAATCCGACATGATGGGTGTACCCAAGTCAATCAATGGATCGACTTTGGTACAAGCAGCCTGCAGTGTTGACAAGTAAGGCCAGGCAAGAAAACTGCAGAAAAGTAAAGGGGTCCACAGGAGAGCATGAAGAGAATGGGGGTGGGATGCATAAAGATGTATTACTGGGTTTGGTGCTGGGGGGGGGATGTGGAGAGCAACATGTTTATTTTCTTTATAAATGGTGACTTCCAAACTGCTGCACAATTGTAAGTTCAGTTCTATGATTATCTGTTTAGTTTTATGTTTTGTCATGTTGTATAATGCTGGATTACTGATTGTCTTCTCTAAAATGTTCATCTCATGGCAGTTGGCAAGCAGAGCTCGATTGGAAAAGGAAGAGAAAATGAGCCAGGCTTATGCCATCAGTGCTGGAGTTTCTGTGGATGGACAGCAGTTATTCCAGACTATTCATAAGACGTGAGTGCTCCCAAGAACTGTCTTTTTTTTTTTTTTTTTTTTTTTTTTTGTTTTTTTTTGGGCTTTAGTGAGCCACAGATTATATACCACTTGATAACCCATAAAAAAAATAAATGTACGGTTAGGTGATCCATGATGTCTTTGATTAGTCTCTGTGGTTGTTTGCTGCAGAAGGCTGAATTAGTAGTGCAATTGGAAAAGTGCTGGGTCTCCCAGTCTGAACCTTTTTAGTGATTCTAAAATTTGTGATTTCTTATAAAAAAAACAAAACAAAAACTTGGTATACTTTCCTGCTCTGTGCAGTGGCTTTCCACAGAGCATAACCATTCCTTTTCTTTTATTTCCCCCTACTTGGCTTTCCAGGTTCCTTTCAAGTGCCAAGCCTCTTGCTATGGGTCACTTGAGCAGACTCTATTCCCGAGGTGCACTCTTGTGAATGGACACTGCCCATTCACACAGTGTGACATAAAATGCATTTTAAGTTAAAACACCTTCTGCCTTTAGAACCTTTTTAAAGCGGTTCCCCTGCAGCCTCCCTAAATACATGCCTAATCTCGATCCAACGATGATGCGTTTTTCGCTCCTCATTGGCTCAGAAACAGCAGCAGGAGCCATTGGCTGGTGCTGTTGAGCTGAGCCAGTGATGGGGGCAGAGTCCAGCTGTGTCTTATGCACACAAAGCAGAGCTCGGGAGCGAGCACACACAAGTGCCCCCAGAGCCAGCGGCTAACTATGGAGAGCACTCGGTGGGTGGGGTGGAGCCAGGAGTGTTAGCGGGGGACCAGAGAAGAGGAGGATCGGGCCTGCTCTGTGCAAAACAATTACACAGCAGGAAAGTATGGCATGTATGTTTTTAGAAGTCAAGCTTTAATGTACATGGCTACTGCAGACAAGACACGTTAAGGAAGTGTTTTGAGATCGGTGTGGGTACCACTTTTACACCGTCGTTCTGGCAGCACTGTTACTTAAAAATTGACTGTGTGTGTGTGTATGAAACCGCTTATACGTGATGTAGATTGTATGTGAACCCATAGTTGTGGCTGGATCCATCCTGTGGTACAGTGAATGTTGGCTAAGAACCCATAAGCCTCGAGAACACAGTAAGAAGAGATTGTAAAAGCAACTGATTCTTCCTATTGTTTTAAATGTCAAGATGGAAATCCCAAAGTAAATTTTATTTTCTTGAGAAATACACCTTATGCCCAAATGTATGTGGACAAAGCCAGCTGTATAAAGACATGGTTTGGTGCAGAGGTAATTGAGTGACAGCCATGACATCAACCCAATTTCATACTTTTGGAATTTTGGGGTATCCGAGTAAAGGTGGCTGAATACAAATGCACGAAACACTTTTCAGATTTTACATTTTGTAACATTTTGTAAAAAAAAAAATTGAAATCTATTATCTTTTTCCTTCCACACTTCAGTTATGTGCCACGTTTTGTTGGTCTATCACATAAAATCCCACGAAAATTTCCATTTTTGGTTGTAATATGACAAAATGTGGAACATTTCTACGGTATGAATACTTTTTCAGACACTGTAAAATAGTTGACGTTTCACTTTATTGCTTAGAAGCAATATACAAACCCATTTGCCCCCCCCCCCCCCCCCCCCCTGGCAGTTTATATGAATTTGTATAGCTAGCTACATCCTTGATAGGCAATCTGGAAATCCCTGCTGTTCTAGGTGGCAGAATAGCTTGGGGAATAGCCTTTCCATAAGTTACTGGTACGCAAGCTGTAAGTGTTAATTCTATTGATATTTGATAATAAAAGCTCAATGGCTTTGTGTCTGCTTTCTCTACAGGATAAAGGAGTGTAAATGGCAAGAAAAAAATATAGTAGTTATGGAGGATGTAGTTATCTCTCCCCCATACCAGGTGGAAAATTGCAAAGGAAAAGAGGGTAGCGCTCTAAGTCATGTTCGCAAAATAGTAAGTACTTTTATACCCAATTTGGCTTTATTTAGCTTTGCTGAACTGTAAATGGTATATTGCTGCTGCTAGGATGGATACCGTCTTTTTTAAGCATGGCTTGTAGCTGGTTAGGACCAGGCCTTCTGAAAGGTTGGAGCTACAGTCACACTGCTAAAATCTCTGAAGATTTACTGCAGGGGCTGGCAGTCTGGCTTCTAGCAAAAATGTCTCCTTGTATTGTAAGCACAATGTAGCAGGAATTTCACACACAATTGGAGAAATGTGCAATTATAGATTACACCATTTAAATTCATTTATCTTAATTGTACAGGGCAGGAAGTCATAGACCATGGGTTATACGCCGCAATCTTCAGGTGATTGGACACTCACTAGTGCTTTTTAACCACAGAAACACTGTGGTAGGTTTACTAAAGCTGGAGGAGTCCGAATCTAGATCAGCTTTGCATGGTGGCCAATCTGCTTCCAAATTCAGCTTGTGCAATTTAAGCTTTGAGAAAAAAACCTGGAAACTGGTTTTCATTCGAAGCTGCACCAGATTTTTTTACTATGCCTACTGACTCTTCCACATGGAAGGGGTCTTTTCACTCCATCTAGGTGTTTCTCTGCACATCAAAGGTGCGTATGTTCTTTCCTTGCAAGCCTTGGACCCCAAAACATTCTATGCTTTCCTCACAATGGTGTGCCCTCACTCTCTGGAATGGGGGTATGTCTGCTGGCATTTGCACCAGTCTGGATCAGGAACATGGAGTAATTTTTCCTAATTTTGGACCGAATTCCTAAACTATCTGTGTCTCCAAATATCTACTTCTGGCCCAGCTCAGATCTCGTGTCCATGTCATGTAATACACGGAAGGCCTTTTCATCAGCCACAGTTGTCTTCCTACATTTTTTTTCCAGTGCCTTCATACTTTCAGATGGCTGATCAACTTCAAGAAGTCTTCCCTCCAGCTTTCCGTCACCTGGCATACTTGGGAACTGGTCTTGGATGCATCACAGGCTAAAAGTTGTCCTACCAGGAAAATATTGCTTCTCTGACTCAACCAGACTGATTCGCTTCTGCTTGATAGTTTTGGGCCTCATGGTAGCGCTTTTTTTTTTTTTTTGGGGGGGGGGGGGGGGGGTTTTGTGCCCTTTGCTCAGCTCTGCTCAGACCCTTGCAGATCAATATTTCTTACGGGGTAGGACAAACAGGTCTCTTCTCTTCCCTGGATCGTCTGCTACTGCAGTCCAGCCAGGCAAAAATCTTCCTGGCATGGTCTATTTCTAACTCTGCCCATGAGTTCCGCAAGACTGACTGACTCTCCTGGAGTCTTAAAAAAGCATGCCTGATTCTCTTATAGGCAGAAAACCATATTGCAACTCTCTACTCTATCCACATACCAGGAGTGGAAAATTGGGAAATTGACTTCATGAGTTGCCAACATCTGCTGTCAGGGCAGCAGTCCCCTCCCTCCCCCCCCCCCCCCCCCCCCCCCCCCCCCCCCCCCCCGAGATCTTCCTGATTTTTTTTGTCAGAAATGGGGAAGATCAGATGTAGACATGATGGCCTCCAGACTCAACAAATATGGACACATTTGTGGCTGGGTCCAGGGATCCCCTGGCCTTCACAGTAGATACCCTATTGACTCCTTGGTCCCTGTTCAAACTGGCTTATGCATTCCTTCAATGAAAATTCTTTTTAGACTGCTTTGAAAGATACTGGAAGAAGATTCCAGTAATTCTTGTCACTCAGAAGTGCTTGATACAGACTCTTTCCAAACAGGACAGGCTTCCTGTCACAGGGCCCCCTCTTTCACCCTGCTTTTCATTCTCTGGATTTAACAATATGGCCAGTCCTAAAGGATAGGAGCATTGCCATTCCCACCTTGCTCAAGGCGACCACATGCCTTTCGTAAGATCTGCCATTGCACCTTGAGGGGCCTACCTTGGCTAGTGCAAAAGCAGGTACCTCAACCTCTGGAAATATTCTGTTCCTCAAATCCTGGCCTAGATCAACATCTGGCTCTTGGTACTATAAAAGGACAGTTTGTCTTTTTTTTTTTTTTTTTTTTTTTTTTTTTTTCATTTTTTTCCAGAAACATTTTTGGCCTGTGCAGTCTTAAGACCTTTTTTTTTTTTTTTTTTTTTTTTTTTTTTATACAAGAGCTCGCTCATGGTAATCCCCCACTCCGAGGTCCTGGGATCCAAATCTTGGGCTTTTTGGTTCTTCACATGCCTCCCTTTTGGTCTAATTTGTGCTGTCCCATTGACAGATCTCAGATAAGGTGTCATTTTGGTGGATGTTAACGCAGTCGGGCATGTCTCAAAGTTGGCAGCTTTTTCTTGCAAGTAGGAGCCTTTTCTTGTCTTGCATGGGGACAAGGTTGTCCAGAGACCTTCCTCACCAAGATAACTTATCCTTCAGTGTGGATGGTTCTCCTTTCCCTAAGTCTTGCTCCATAACATGGCAAGGAGATTACACTTTACTGCCTGGATATGGTCAGTGGTTTATCTAGCCACACCATCTTCCTTTTTTAAATAGTTTTTGTTTTTTGTTTTTTTTATATCCTCCTTTTAAAGGTCCCAAAGACATCTACTTCCTCTCTTCAGGCTGCTCATTTCTAGGGCTTACACACCCAAGGAACAAAATCCTTTATTTCCTATTAGGACTTACTCCACCAAATCTGTAGGTGTTTCTTGGGCCTTTCAGCATAAAGCATCTGTTTTTTTTTTTTGTAGGTTTCCAAGGCTGCCACCTAGTCGTATGTATGTTTTTTTTTTTTCCCTCAACGTTCTACTGGGTGGATGTTCAGGCTTCTACTGATGTGTGCTTCTGTTGCAAGCTGTGAGTGTTTTTAGGGTCCATTGACCCTTTTTGTGGGCCTGTGTACTATGCTGTTGCCCACCCCTCAGTTTATTTTCTGGGGACATCTCCACATTCTAATGTCTGTACTGTACTCCAAAGTATGAAATTTACTGAATTCCTCTACAGAACTCTGAACGGTTTAGGTAGGCCGTCCTTACAATTTGTATCTTGTCAGGTTTGGCCTCATGCTAGATAATTGATCTAAAAAGGAGAATTTTTTGGGATCCATAGTGTGTGGCAAGCCAAAGCTCTTGGGATGCGCAGCTAACTTTTTTTATTAAAAATAAAAAAATCCAACTCTTAAATTGGCTATTTTTATTACGATCAGATTAAAACTTTTTCCATGTGGATCTTTTGACTTTGCCCTTTCTAGAATAGGCTGATCTCATTGGGTAGGAGCGTATCACGCTACAGGTAAATTTCAGCTGGTAGGTTGGGTGGTGTCAGAATACATTTTTTCTTGGCGCATGCCCATGTATGCATCTAGCAGCTTTTGTTGAAACGATCATCTTTCCTAGTGACTGTCCAACGAGACCATATCATCGGCTTTCACTTTTCAATTAAACCCTTTGCAGCGGTAGGCTTTAGCATTTTTGTCTGTGGTGGGGTGTTTTTTTTTTTTTTTTTTTTAATTATTGGGAGTCTTCCTGGGGAAAGGTGTTTTGCAGGATTTTGACACTTCTGGGAGTGTTGGGATCCTTCCCTGTGCCCACGTAATAATGACATCAGGAGGCAGCAGCTTGATGTCAAGGCAACAGGGACACTTTAAATGTCACCAGATACCAATCTAGACCTATGCCAATAGTCTGGCTCTCTGGTTGTCAGGATGCTTTGTGTGAGGTTTCCAACCACCTGGAGCTGCAGGGGGTAAAGTGCAGCCACTGTTTGGGTGGGGGGTATGAAATATAAATCTGTGGCAAAAGCAGTGGAACCCCTAGAGACCTCTTGCAATAACCATGAAGGATAAAAATCTAGGGCGTTCTGAAAACAATTGTGAATGTTAGTAATGTGTGTACATCTGTTATGAAACTTAACCTGGTTGTCTTTCTTTTTAGGTTGAAAAACACTTTAGAGATTTGGAAACTCAGAAGGGCGTGCAACGAAACCCAATCCAGCTGTCACAGAAAGAGACCAGTACGTCCTCCTGAGCCCTCAACTGTATCGGCCTCGCTGCCCCTGAGCTGCCTGCTCTTCACCCTGCTGTGTTCAGGGGTCCCTGAGAAGAGTTGGAGACGGGAAGGGGTTGAAAACCTAGGGAGGGGGCAAGCTGGGGGCTGGCTTGGGGTGGGAATGGGTAGCTTTTATTTTTCGGACTAGTCTCTCTCAACCCTTTCTTACAGCAGCCATTGTGTGTAATTTGGTTATGTATGGAAGGGGTTGAGGGGATCCTGAGCTATAGAAGATCCCTTGGCCTCCAATTTTTTTTTTTTTTTTTTATTTTTTTTTTTTTTTCTTTTTCTTTTTTTTTAGCCTGTCTGGCTCCAATTCCAGATTTTTCCTGGCATTGCGTTTTCTTCCTCAACAGCATTTTTCTCCCCCTTTCCTTCCTTTCTATGTCTTTTTATTTGTGTAAAGGTTTTCTTCTCTCTCCTGTTGTTGGAGGAAATTGCCAACCCTTTCTCAGGCAGTGGGACAGGGTGATGCGTGGCATGTCACCCTCTGACTGGGAATAGGTTATAAAATTGCCTGTAAAAAGGAAAAAAAAACAAACTTGAAAAAAAAAAAAAAAACACAAAAAAACACATAAAAAAAAAAAAAAAACAAAAACAAAAATAAAACCGAAAAACAAAAGTAAATGTTTCTGTAAGGTTTCATTTTATTTGAGTGTGATTTGGACCTTTTTTGATCATATAAATCAATGGAAAACAAAATTATAGTCACGGGTATACAAAAGCAGTCTGATGCATCTTGGGAAATGAACAGGTCAGATGTACCTGGGAAGTTCAAATGGTGCTCCTAAGTATTGCATGCTGCATCACCACATCTACTCAGGCGCAAACCTTCAAGCTTTGCAGCAGGCTCTCCAAGATGCCTTTACCCATGTCTATTCATCGCTACAAGAGCAAGGTGTTGCTGGGACCCTGCCAAAGTTGAGGTACCCTTGGGATTGAAGCACATGTGACCAGTCCTCCATCACTTTTTCCAGGACCTGGATGCAGCCATATGGCAGCAGCATACCAAGATATATGCAATAATTGACTTTTAGAAAAGTGGCATTTGGCTTTTCAGGGCCCTACAGTGCTGGCATAAAGCAGTAGGGTAACATGATAAAGTATTCATCCATATCAATGTTACACATCAAATGCTCCCTGATTATAAACTACTACACTGGCCTTTCTACACCAGGGTTCCTCCAGAGGCTGCTAGGGGTTCCTTTTTGAATAGAGTGGGAAAATAACCTCCCACCTACATAGGTCTGTGGCTGACATCTTGGCAAAGCCATCTGAGTGGAGCCAGTTGAACCTCCTCGTCTTGTCTCAAATTTACAACACACTGCTAGTCAGTGGAAGAAAGAATGGTTGTTCATGTGTTATCGTGTCATGGAGCGACAGTCTTTATCTTTTGGGTTTACACCTTCCTACAGGAGGATTGGGGGGGGGGGGGGGGGCAGGGTGACCCATCTTTATTTGCAGTGTCTAACAAATCAGACCTGAGTAAAGGATGTGTCTCCTACTAGGATATATATTTATTAACCTCTTGCCGACCGCGCATAGCCGAATGACGGCTTCACCGCGGCCGGCCAGTTCTGAGTGGACGTCATATGACGTCCTCCCAGAACGCGCTCTCCTGCGCGCACCCGGCGATCTCCGTGATCGCTGTGTCCTACGGACACAGCTGATCACGTGATGTGGTGAAAGGCAGATCCCACCGGCCTTTTACCACGTGATCAGCGGTGTCCAATGACACGCTGATCACAGGGAAATACAAATGCCGGTTCTCGACTGCACTTTCCTCACGCTGTCAGATCGTGAGGAAAGTACTGCCGAGAACCGGCAGTTGTCAGAGCGGGGATCGGCACCGATTATCAGGGCACTGATGATCAGTGCCCTGATGATCGGTGCCCAGCAGTGACACCCGCAAGTTCCGCCCAGCAGGGCGCCCACTAGCCCCGCCCACCCGTTCCCAGCAGTGCCCCCACCTGTGCCACTCTGCAGTGCCACCTACCTGTGCCCAGAAGTGCCACCTACATGTGCCCAGCAGTGCCAGCCACCTGTGGCCACCCACCAGTGCTGCCCACCAGTGCCACCCACCAGTGCAGCCCAGCAGTGCCACCAGTCAGTGCCCAGGGGTTGTGCCAGTCAGTGCCGCCAGTCAGTGCCCAGAAGTGATGCCAGTCAGTGCCGTCTATCAGTACCCATCATCAGTGTCACCTATCAGTGCTGCATATCAGTGCCGCCTATCCGTGACCCCTAATTAGTGCTGTCTATCAGTGCCGCCTATCCGTGCCACCTCATTAGTGCTGCCTATCAGTGCCCTTTAGTGCCGCCTATCAGTGCCCATCAGTGCCGCATCATCAACGCAAATCAGTGAAGGAGAAAAAATACTTGTTTGAAAAATTTTATAAAAGAAACACACTTTTTTTTTTTTTTCAAATTTTTTGCACTTTTTTTTAATTTATAGCGCAAAAAGTAAAGCGCCCAGTGGCGATTAAATACCACCAAAAGAAAGCTCTATTTGTGAGAAAAAAATGATCAAAATTTCATATGGGTACAATGTTGCATGACCGCGCAATTGTCAATCAAAGTGCGGCAGCGCTGAAAGCTGAAAATTGGCCTGGTAAGGAAGGGGGTATAAGTGCCTGGTAGGCAAGTGGTTAAATAGACGCCAGGGGTGGACTTACTACTCATGGGGCCCCTGTGTCCTTGGCCAAACTCAATAAAGCCTATGAAAAAGGTACCAGGAGCATCTCATGGGGCCCCCTACTGACCCCGGGCCCTCGGGCAGTGCCCGAGTTTCCAAAGGGTTAGTCCGCCCCTGTTAGACGCTACACTGTTCTTAATCCTACAGTACAGAATGCGAACTTGTAGTTAACACAACAGGTTATATGTGGTCTAATCTCAGGCAATTGGACTTTGAGGAACCTTTTGCCTGGGAAGCCCCTAGTGTGTGCTCATATAACCTCCACCCACTTCAGGAGACTGTTTTACTAGTGTCCTTGTGTGATGGACTTTTTTTTTTCCTCCCCAACACTTCTATCCATATTTTATTGCCATGGGTTATCTAGGAGTTCTCTTGGTGTTTACCTTGAACTCTATACTCACCATGGCATGTTAAAATGTGTAGTTGGCTGTAGGCTACTATACAGGACCAGATCTGTGGTCAATCTTGATGGCTTCTAGGCCTTGAATGTCCCTTTCAGGAGAATGCCAGGTCAAACCTGGACTCCTAATGTGGAATTAGTTAAGACAGGGTTTCCCTGTAATTTGGACTGTTCTGGCTATACACAACTTGGCACACAAGCATGCATAGGAGGCACCGTAATAGACTGTTTTACTCCTCATGCTTGTCTCCTGAATCTGGCACAATTTTATTTCTATTTTAATTTTAAGGTTTTTTTGGGGCCTTCCATTTGCACTTCATCTCAGCGTGGTGGTGATGCTGCATGTCTTGCAGCTGACACACTTCATCCGCCATATTTGCTGAAAACAGGCACGCAACGTTTGATGCAGTTCTTGCTGCCTTCTACTAGAGCAGGGGTGGGCAAACTTTTTGACTTGAGGGCCGCAATGGGTTCATATATTGGACCCGAGGGCCGGACCAAGAGTAGACGAATGAAGTGTATGTGTCATCCATAGTAAGCATAGTAATTCATCCCCCATAGTAAGCATAGTAATTCATCCCCCATAGTACTATTCCCCCCCCCCCCCCCCCCCCCCCCCCCCCCCCCCCCCCCCCCCCCCCCCCCAAGTAGTAAGCCAAGTCCCCCCTGTGTCAATTCACTTACCTTTGCTCCGCGCGTTCCTCTCGCCGTGTTCCCGCGCCGTTCCGGTCTTCAGGGTGGACTGTGAGAGGAGCCTAGCTCCCCTCACGTTTGTCACGCTGCCCCGCCTACACACATCCTGACAGCCAATGTATCACGCTCCGCGGGCCGGATTAAATGGTCCGCCGGGCCGTAGTTTGCCCATTGCTGTACTAGAGAGACAGCAAGGAATGCTGTCAGTCCCTGGATTATAGTGGCTTAAACATTCCGGACGTGAACATTGTGAATAGATGTAATGATGGAACTGTTCCTGCGTAGCAATCTCTCATCCCCCACCCATCTCTGACTCTAGCTCCCTCTTGGTGTGCACACCATGTGGCTCTTGCTGCCAAATCTTTTTCTGCCAATATCTGAATTCTTTGGGAAAAATGTTTTGGTACTTCTTGAACCTGTTGGTTTCTAAGGGCCAAAAACACTGCACTTCCTTTCCCCTGTGGCTCTGAGAGGAACCTCCATACCTCATGAAATTAAAGACTGCGATGGAGATGCACATACGGTACTTTAGCAAATTTTTTTTTTTTTTCTTCCATCCCCTGCATTTTATGAGCCACAAGCAGCACATGGTTCCCCACATCCAAACATGCCCCTATTGGCATAAAGGCTACCAAAATCAAAAATACTTTTCCTATTCATATACAAATTGGAATGTGCAGGGTGAGGTCTAGCCTAATCCTCCTCTTATGCTTTTTGCTGGAATTTTTATCTATGACAAAATGTAAAAAAAATGGGCTGTAGTAGAACCTTCCATTTCAGGTCTCAAACACATTGCGATTCCTATTTGAAGATGTTCCCTCTTTTAAGGATTCTATTGATAGGTCACTTTTGCCAAATGTTTGCTAACTGGCCAAAACAAATTTAATAGAGAATATGAGCCTGTATTTAAAAGCCTTGTTCTCTTGATGCAATTGTGATTTAAGTCCTCAGCCTTGTTTTGAGTGGATGCTCCAGAGAATGTAATTAGTAAAGTCTCCTGACCTAGAAAATCTCTATTTGGGTATATGTCAGGGGGAAAACCCTGGTCTACCGAATCTGCTTATAAGAGATGCCTTTCATACATGTACATTAATGCTAAAGGTCTGTTTAGGGGAATCAATTGATAAATTCACTAAGGACATCACTGGGACAAAGGTGCTCCTACCCCATAAGAAAAAGCCTGTGTCTTCTACT